TCTTGAATTTCTGAATTTTTTTGAATATCGCGGCAATTGTAAAATAATCTGGCTCGAAGAAGGTCCAATTTTACATTTGTCTGTTTATGTCGAATCATGTTTTTGTGAAGTGTAAAAACTTTCTTTTTTCTAGAGAAAATGTTATTAAGTCGGGAGCAAACTAAAAACTACATTAACATATATAATTAGTTTGATTTTATTGCATCTTGCACAGTTAGTGTATAATCAAAACAAAACAAACATTAAGAAAAAAATCATTCATAAACAAAAACGGGTATTCATTAAACAATTCTTAAATATTATCTTCGAGAATGTATCCATCTAATGGCTAAAAACTAAACTATACAATACGATGTCGTATTAATGATTCCAAATTAGAATCCTACGGTGGGAGAGGGTCCAACTGATTATTACTCTTCGTTACTGTTTTGAAAACAGTCTGCGCACTGTCATTTGAAGATTTTCGGACAATAGAGCTTCCAAAATTCTCCATTAGATTGTCAGACAGTGAAAGAAAAATTCAAATGCATTTCTGTGACGAGTAGTCAACACTTAAGGATTAACCTAACATTATAGTGAAAATAGAATTGTGAATTCGTAATAAACGTACATTACTGCATGATTTATGGCGAATAAAGACAACTGTTCCACACATTTAAAAATTATATGGCATATAATTTTCTGCCAGTGTATAAACATCCTTGACTATTTGTAAATTTTCTTCAACTTACATATCATGTTACATTTACTAACACACAATAAAGATACACGTAAATGTGTGAAAACATAGCAAAAATAATAGAAAAAGGAATCTAGTGCAATGTTTCTCAGTACGTGTACAAGTTTTCTTCGGAGCAGTCGTGTATCTACGGCGCCGAAATGCGGACGATTCGGTGTATCGCGACAAGAATGCGGTAAACATGTAGCAAATTTGGTCGAACGCCATCCGGGTATTATATACACACGGGGGGAAATATCGTGTAACTGTCGAATTAGCAAAATTCTTGCATAGTATCGTCGAAGGCGGAGGAAGGATCGGGGCAGAGACCCGAGATGCACGCAATGATTCCGCATCGTTTCTACGACCTAGGGCCCCTAGGTGGTAGCCGAAACGGGATAGCGATATGGGGCTTCCGTGCGCGGAAGTGGGATAACGAGAGACGTGGTCGAAGTCTAACGAAGGGTGACGGAACGAACCGAGTGGACTTAGGTCGGGCTAGCGCGGGTGAGAACGAGACCGACGTAGGTTACGGCAGCGCGACGAAAAAGGACGGTAAAACGGAGTCACGACAGCCCAATGGGGGGGAATCGAGTGTGACGCCAGAGCGGAGAGGGTCACTGATGATGGTGGCGCCCCCTGAGCGGGCCAGGCTAGAAGGTAAGGTTAGTCAGTCGCCAGCCGTTCGAGAACGATACACGTTGTGCTCGCGTCTCTGCACGAATTTTACCCCTCAACGGTCCACTGTCGAAAACACGCGCGAAAACAGGTGGCCAACGGGAAGTGACATTTTACAGTGATTGGATAGTGGTCACGGAACTAAACGCAGTGCACTCGACGCGATACTCCCGTGGTACGTTCCCGGTCTCGTGAAATTGTTGGTGGCGCGCTTCGTGTAGAGAAGACCGGCAAAGTGGAGCGTTAAGCGGTGTGTCGATACTCTGTGGACGAACTTTGGATAATCTGTTCGTCATCGAGTGTCTACGTTTTTGGAAGAATTATCGATTTATAAGGAAACGTTACGAGGATTATTATAACCACCAGGGAAATGTGTTCAGAAATACGCGTCTCGATCGACGTTCGATGCTGAGACGGTTTGGGTTTGCTTTGGCAACGCCTGCTGCTGTCTCTCCGGCCGACCGTCATGGGTAGCTCGTCTGCGATCCCGACGTAACACAGGATAGAGGCAATTTGTGCGAGTTTAAGAGAGTTTAAAGTACGCTGGACAGCATTGTCACGCGAAACGGATCGACGCTGGAACGATTGCGCACGGATTCCAGCTAATATACGTACACGCCGGCGATTGTCGTGTCGAACCAAGAGACACGGTGCCGCCGCGACGAAAAGCGACGCGAACGAGCGTGAGAAAGAGCGGGTACGTTTCTCTCCGCGGGGCTGAGGGACGGCTGATATATACACGCTTACGCGGGTCCCGATCCACTCGTGGCTCTCAGTGTTCTGTGAATGGTGTTTACTTTTTTCCCCCCTTCGTTTAACGTTGACATGTAGTTTATTTTGTTACCCGCTTCCTGTAGTTTATTTCTCTGTCGATGTTGTTGGTCGACGTGACATCGACACGCAACAGTAAAATTTTCGAAGACCGATCGACGGTTAATCGTACAGGACGCTATGTATCAACGATCGGTCCAGTTCGCGACGGGATTTGAATTTATTTAAACGACCAGTGGCAAGATTTTCTTCTTCGAACGTCAGTGAAAAGTCTGGAACGAAAGAGGAGGCATTCGAAGATGGAGGTATCGAAGATGCTGTACGTGTCGCAGGCAATGAAATACCATACGTTCGTATCGAAGTCGAACCGGTGATAAATCTCGATATAGATCGAAAGAGACAGCAGTGGCCGTGGTGAAGCCGCCATTTTTCGTCTAGCGTTATCTCGCGAAACTTGCGGTGTTTCGTTATCGGCGATTGGGATACTGTTTCTGCTCGACGACTTGTTCGGATTTGTGATACGAAAACTAGTGTGCAATTATTAACGTGTGAACTTGTGTATCTATTCCGGGATTAACGTGTGAGCGTCAGTGTGAGGTGTAACGTGGATGTGTTTATTTGTCTCGTGATCATTGAAGGGAAAAAGGATATCGGGGAAAAAAAAAGTATAGAATCGTTCGAGAGTTGTTGACGATGGTGATTCGCGGAAATGGAGTAAATACTCGGCGTGTTCAGGCTGCGAGCTCGAGGTGCGTTACACGTCTCCTTTTTCTTTTTATTAAAATAGGGGTATTGTGAAAGGAATTCGTTGTGTAGGTAATTGGAAACTAAGAAACGCTTAAATTAAACACAGTTGTAAACAAAACAGGCAAAATTCGTTTGCAACACGTGTCACATGAATGAGGGACCGTGTATACATAACTTGGAGTGTTTACTTACTTACGAATTTAAATCCATTTTAAATATAAAAGGGTGAATATCAAACAAGTATTTTATCACTAAATTTTGAGAAAATACAAAAAGTGGAGTTAGTCACTTTGGCTACTGAACGGCTCTGATTCTGACAGCATTTATTGCCCCTATAATAGGGTCAACGATATATACGTTCTTTCATAAATCTTGTTTCTTTGCTACAAGTATTAAATCAATTACTCCGAAATAAAAAATTGTAACCTATAAATAATTCGGTCTATATCACGATACTAATATGCATACCCATCCAGTCAGTTCAAAGTGATCTGTTTTTATCGATAGAAATTGTACCACTGATCACTCCAGTTTGTATGTATTTGGAGCGAATATACTTCTTCTGTGGCTGTTCAATTTAACAGCAGTGTATAATTAGCCCGGAATTTTTTAAATCACGAAAATCATGTACATCGTATAGTATTCATTATAGTGTGGCTGTTGTAAGGGAAAGCAGTTTAATTTCATTGGTATTATAATCTTTTTTTTCCCTCACAAATCGGTTAGAACGTTATTTTTCTTGTTATTTAATTGACCCTCAAAGTATGCGTATAAAAAGTGTCACGCCAGGCGTAAAAACACGATGGCACATAAGAAACCGGTATTATAAATATTGATCGTTTGAATGGATAACGTGGTTCATTGGTCTCGTGTTGCCTTGATGACAATCAACGAACGGTAGAACTGTGAGAAATTGATCGAAATGCATCGAAATGCATCGTATTTCCATTATTTCTCCGTTATGCGGATAATCGTGATTTCTTACTATCTTGAAATATCGACGAGCATTTCAAACCGTCTTACAGAATACATTTTCTCGTCAATGTGCAATAATTAGCGTTATTAATACATAGTTTCAATCCATTAGGCGAGGTGTTATTTTAATTTATCAAACTTGACGTTTCATTTTGACTACGTCCAAGTTGTCATAATGAAAATAAATAGGTGTTTAATAGTTAGAATTTTTAAAAACTTTATGATTCATTGATTATAGAAATAAATACCAACTTGCATTGTCAAACACTACCACCACTTTTGAATTCTTAATTAATCAGCTGATCAATTCTATACATTTCTTAAACTAGCGTTTCCCAAACTTCCTGCAACTTTAACGGAACACTTTGGGTATTTTGTAGGTATAGTAAATAAAATAAATGAGTAAATCTCATTTATCTATCATTTATCTCATTTATTCTCAAATGTTAATTATTTAAAACAACGTACATAAAAATAATTTTTGACAGAACACTTATTCACATTCCGCGGAACAGAATTTGGAAATCATTGTCTTAAACAATAGTCCGTATTATTAAAATGTCACACTATGTATATGGATAATTGACCTTTGGCATATGTATTGTTTTTAAAAAATCGTACCTTCCGAGTCACGTCGTTTTTCCCATTAAATAAACACGTTTATTATCAGAGATTTTATATAACGTATATGTATAGCATAGCGATCCTTATGGTCTCAGATTCACCGATAAAGTCACTAAAATATGAGATCGTAAAACCGTCGAGGCAATTTTATGATGTTGATTATCAGTAATTATAATTTACTTAAGGATACCGTTTGTTTATTAATGTCACGTCAAAAACCGCCGAGATTATCGAATATCAAATGATTGGGGTACATATTCCCGGGAACCCGAAGAGGTGGTTACTCCCTTTCAAACCCGCGATCGTCCGAGACCCCGTACTCTGTAATTAGAGTTCGGAGACTCGATCCTGCGGAATGCGCGGGAACGTTAACTATTCATTTATCGCCACCGTTGATCGCGATTTCATCAGGCGGTTTTAATCGATCTGCCTCGTACCAGCTGCGAAGCCCCGTGGATTTTACAAAGCCGTGTTTTTCGTTTTGCAGATGCATGTGCGCGAGCGGATACACTGGCCAGAATTGCGAGAACGAGTATATTCCCTGCGCCCCATCGCCATGTAAAAATGGAGGCACGTGTCGCCAGATCAGCGACTTGGATTACGAGTGCAAGTGTCCCGAAGGTGAGTCTCCAAATCCTGTTTCTATAAACGCTGTCATGGCGTGGCGTGATTTTCTCTTGAATTGGAATGGTTATTAGACGATACGGTTCAAGATGTGTAGAAAAGTAACAGTGGATATGTGTACAGGATGTTTTAGAACGACAGTAAATTCTTGACGATTGTTTGAAGGCTCCTCGGCACTGAACATTAAATATTTCATAAACTAATGGCCATACGCGGCTGAAAAAAATATCATTAACTTTAGAATTCCAAGCTTTATTAGTGTCCTAAATCTCATTAAAAAGTCAGCGTTACACTTGGGTTATACGTTAAAACTTAACCAACGAATGAAGTTTACAGAAATAGAGTAAATAGTCTTGATTTAGATGATTGTGCAAGTTAAATGTTTTTGAAATATTTGAGACATTTTTATTTTATGAAGTACGTTTCTTGTATTGTTATGCAAGTTCCTGTTCTTCTGAATCATCTGGACAGACATACAGAAATTTCATCCAGAATTTTTGTTGCATTTTGATTCATCGTTCTGAAACACTCTGTACATTCTACAATTGAATCACACACGTAGAAGCATGCATGTTCTGAATATTTTTTACGATGAATTCATCGTAAATTTTTACCATACACTTCCATAATTGCATGTGGTACCTTATAAACAGTCTTCAATTACTTTTGCATTCAAGACAAGCAGGTAATATTGTATTAATAACAAAGAATGCCCTATCGTTTAACACCCTAACGGTGAAATTTTACGATAATTTCCATTCATGATAATACATTAGTCTGTGGCATCCGTTATTTCCCGTTCAACGATCTAATATCTTAGATGTGTAGAAAACAAATCTATTTCTACTTCAGAAATAATCGCATGAAACCTTTTACGAGCGTAATAAAATTAGCCCGCGAATAATCAAACCGATTAACCCTCGGGATTAAAAGTCATACCAACGGACTTCATAAAGATCAGAAATCGAAGCATATATACTTCCTCCTAACTAGTATGCATTCCCATAAACATCAGCGCACCTGAAATTCGTAAATCCGTGCCCGTATTCGTCGTCGTTCCGGAAGACACGTCTTTCTCACGAATCAAAAAGATCGACAGGGTCTCTCTCCTTGAACTGGTTTTCACGGGGAACCATCGTGGAATGTGTTCGGGAACAAAGCATCGCCACGATTCGCCATTTTGTCGCGGGAGGTACTTTTTTTTTTTTTTTCGTACAAGTCGCGTTCCACGTTCCACTCTGTTTACCGCGGGCAAGAAAGTTTTTCGCGGTTGCCCGTTGCGTAACCTTGTTCCCCCTCCGACAATGGACGAAACGGGGAAAGAAGGGGGGTGGAGGGGGAAAAGGGTGGGAAGACAAAAGAACGTCCACGGAGCAATGATTAGTCGGTGCAACAGGTACAACTTAAGCCCCAAGGGGTGGTGGCCACTTACGCGTGCGTGTGTGTACGGTGGATGGTTAATGTAAAGCCTAGGGTCAGCCTAGCGTGGCCCTCCTTGATGCTCGGATCACAATGCGTGGTCCTGTCGTTCCCAGGCGGACCACAACCATGGCGACCCCACCTTCTTTCGCCTTCTTCCTCGCCGGTCGACCCCTCCGTCTTTTACGCTGCTGTGCGTTCGGTCGTGCGCCTTTTCCCGTTAAAGTAAGCGCCCCCGGACTTTTCCACCTTCTTGCCCCGCCGATGGATATCAGTCGGCTCTGACACGGTTCGCTCTATCAGCGTTATGCTCGGAGATCGAACAAGTGGACTTGTTAGATTCAAGGGGTAATACGGTGTAACGCCTTGAAGATAATCGATTCCCTTTTCTTTTTTCATGTACTTTTCAGTAGATTGGAATCTTGGAACTATGTTCTTGAGGATTTCATTAAAATTTGTGAAAGCAAGGAATGGAGTGTTACTGGGTCATTTATTGATTTTAAATTAATTTGACTAATTATTATCGTATACATTGTTCGGTAGAATTAGGGGATCGCTAATTTTGGCGGTCTTGTTGCGTCCACCGAGCGAGAGAAATAGAACAAGTGATATAGGTTTGCTAAATTGAAATTTCTTCGGTACAATACTAGCACTATTAACACGTATACCTCGTTCAACGAATCGAGTCAGTAACTATGAACAAAGGGAGGTGATAACTATTTAGGTGGGACAGGGACAGAGACAGTTGTCATCCAATAGCTGGGCTTAGTGGAATAATGTTTTGGTTACTTTTACTCGTCTCGTTAAACGGACAATAGTTAAATTTGTATAAAAATTTGTTCAGAAGTTACACGTCGTAATGACGAGCAGAGCGATTGCAATACATGATCCCCTAATTGTTTTGAGCAGTATGGATAAACAGTCCTAGTCCCCCTCTTCTTTGATTAGATCGCAGTGATACCAAAACTACCTGTAATTCTATAAAATTACAACCACTGTATGACAACCCCAATTGTATCTGAACATCAGGAAGACGTTACAAATATTCCTGCAATTCACGCACCATCAAATTACAGGTAGTAAGAATCCCTCTGCTATCAGCATCTCCGAGCCATTACTTAAACTTCCTTAACTTTCGTCGATCGGTGGTTTCCGTTGCGAAACGAAATTAAAGGACTCTGCCCTGTTCTGCATGATCGCGTGTTCAGTGAATATCCTATACTCATACATTTTACGGCTGTCCAACGGCGCAGACAGCCGCATTATGTCTTTCTCGCGTTAACCCAACCGTCTGTTTAAGCCACTAACAACGTCGTGTCGAAGAAACGAGCACGGGGCCCTATGCGTCGCGCGTTTTATTCCGGTCTTTTCTCCGGGCGATTTTCGTTTAACGAGGCCGCCGTCGAATTGTCCGCAATTATCGCGAGTTCCAGCTCCGGGCGACGCTTTCTTCGAGAATTCTCAGCCGTCGCGAAGGCAACAACCGGGTGAAAATCCAAACGCATAAAAGGCGTGTCTCGATCACGTGCTCCTAATGACCGTCAGTTGCCTGACAGAGATAGCGGTCGTTCGAGTTGTTCCTTATGGGGACGCCTGACTAGGGACGAGGCCATAACTATTTCAGGATCCGCGTATTACCGAGGGAATCGTCCAGTTCCCCTGACTCGTCTCCACGAGTTTATCCATCGATTGCTTGACGTTATTGCTGTACTCCGGGCTTTTTTCACCCTCCGTTTGATACGTGTGTACCAGTTGTCCCTTCGTATAAACACTCGCCACCAGCTCTCGGATAGTTATTATCTGGATGTTCGAAATTTATTCGTCTACCCAGTCGTAATCTCCTCGATGAATTTCGCGTTGTTTCTAGAGGTATTTACAACAACCTCGTAACTATTTTCTACGGGGCAGCGTACTCTCGAAATGATTTGCTCGTGTAGTTAGCTATAATGGTTCAATTTGCAACACACAGATACCTAGGTCTTGCTCCTCGAACTGTATACCTCTGCTACCTTGTCCCTACCTTTTTTCCCCCTTTTGTATTCGATTTCTGATTCTCTCCCGACGTTCGTTCGATGGCAGATCTCCCTGGTCGTGTGGGGGTTTTTTGCCTGAACGCTTATTTTCCGCGGAAGAAGAACCTTTTCAGATGTTCCGGACGAGGTTGTAACTATCATCCCCCCCTAGCTCGAAGGCAAGGCCTTCTCTAGCTTCCAGTCGATTCGGCCGCGTACCCACTACCGCCTAGTCGTAATGGTTCAATTTGCAGCATCCCGGTTTCTTGGCTCCCCTTATCCCACCGAGGTTCTCTCTTTCGTGGCGAGCACGAGCCACCTCTCCACCTGACTCTCTTTCGCCTCTTCCTCCCGCCCCCTCCACCTTGCCCCTCTACGTTTTCTGGCTTGTGCAACCAGCGAGGATCGGTCGTCCCTTCGCCTGCAGGACGACCTCGGAGCCTCTGGCTTACAGATTTCCCTCGACGATCCGATCACGCCTCCTCCTCCTCCTTCGTTCCATTCCGCTAATTAGAAACTGCTCTATCGAGCGCGCCGGTTAAACGATTAACCGCACGCCCATAGATTAATCGGTGGTCGTGCGAGGGAGATGGAGGATTACCAGGGGAGATGAAGAGAAGAGGGCACACACATGGAGAAGATCTCTGCTCCCGCTCGTTTTCCATGCTGCATACCGCTTTTATTTCTCGTATTGCCCTCTAAATTGAATGCCAACGATCGGGACGAGGGGAGGGAACGACACGACACTTGTACGATCTTGATACCGTGCGCGCTTGGACGATTAAATCGGGGGCTTTTTTTTCCCCTTCCAACGGCCATCGGAGCACGAATTCCACGGTTTTATGGAGTTGTATAGGAAGCCATTCGAGGTGCCTCGGGTTAGATACGGAGCCATCGAGCGTCGTGAATCTCGAATCTCTGTTCGACCAGACCCAAGCTTCCTTATCCCTTCCCCTACCCCCCTTTTATTTCTTCGCTTCGACTCGCTGCTCACGGTTGGTTCAATTAAAACCGGGTAGAATTCTCTCTAGGTAGTCGATCTCTACCAGGATCGATTTTATTGCGACTCACGGGCACACACGGGAACACGGCGCGGAAAATCCTCTCGAACGCGAGCTTCGCTGACGTGTCTCGCGGTGTGGTATCGTTGAAGCGGCGAAACACGTCGAGGAAGAGCCAGGAGGACGGTTATACGCGCGGCCACGTCTGATTTATGTTAACGCGGGGATATAAAGTGCGTGGCCGGGAGAAGTGTGGGGTCGGAGAAACAGCCGGACAGAGAGACACCCGACCGTTGTTGAGGACATACCACTCGTTTCGCTGACCCCCCCTCCATGCCGTACCCGCTGCGACTATTACGCAAGCGGCTCTTACCCACGAGCGAACGTGCTGAGGGTTGCGGAGGAAATAGATCACGGTCGAGGAGTATTCTTTTTTTTTTTGCGAATGAGATTATTCGCGGGGAACTTCCGGTGTGTGCGACGTTGATTTTGATGAAACTTTGCGGATGTGATTAATGTGAAGCAGGAAGTTTAGAGGTTCGTGGGATTATAACCCTTGGAAGTT